TTTAAACTGGTTGGCCTCCCACCTGTAGGTCAGAAAAGATATTCGTGGTGGACACAAGAGGTACAACTGGCAATAACAGTAATAGAGTCGGAGGTGTCATTCAAGAAATGGTTTGCAAACGAAAAGCCTTCTTCTCGCTTGACATATGTCATGCAACTGCAGGAAGACTCGCCCGTAGAGCATCAGAGGTGAGATATTACTATTTCTGTATATGAAATCGCACAAGCCGTGGAAAGCTTGTAAAGTGGAAAGGCTGCTGTAGCTGATGTAGTCCACCCTAAAATGCTCAAGGCATTAGGCAAACAATTCATGTTCTGACTTAAAAGTGTCTGTCAAACTGCCATGATTTCGAGGAAGACACCAGCAGACTTTGGAACGGCAGCTAGTGTACCTCTAGTCAAGAAGAGAGACCACAGGGCATCCTTCAATTATAGGCGCATCACGTTTTGAGCCTCCAAGGTAAAGTCTGCACTAAGGTGCTAGGAAGGAGGTGTCGCGGAATAACTGATTTCAGCATACAAGAACAGTGTAGTTTCCGGTCCGGTCAAAACACCTCTGACCATATATTTGCGCTACGCCAGATTGTTGATAAGTTGTTGGAATTCTCTATTCCGGTGGACATGTGCTGTGTTGACATAAGAAGACCTCAGTCTGTGATCATGCCATCGAGTATACGGTTTAGATGACCAGCTGCTAAGGGCCATCCAATCACTGTATTCTGTGAGCAGATGCTGCGTCACATTAAATGGCGTTAAGTCGAAACCCTTCAACATTGGCACTGGTGTCCGCCAAAGCTTCGTCCTGTCCCCTCTCAAGTTTGTGTTATACAAGGATTGAATAGTCAGGAGCAGCCAACGCAATGAGTTTATCGTGTAGGATATGTGGAGACGAGAAGGTGGCTCTTTGTAGACGGCCTTGCTTTATTGACATCTGCTGAAATTGATCTATAGTTCTCCCTGGAATGGCTTGCTCTCGAATGCGACGTGACCGGCATGCGTGTGAATGCATCTAAAACGAAATGTCTAGTTCTCGCTCTCCTGTCTGTTGCTCTCCAGATTAACGGAGAGGTAATGGAGCAGGTGGAGAAGTTCAAGTACCTCAGAATTGTATTTACTTGTGATGGAAAATTTGGGGAAGAGGTCGGCCGGAGAATTGGGGTAGCCAATGGCGTTCTGCGTGAACTAGCCCAATCCATTTTGACTAAAGCATAGCTCAGTATGAAAACTTAGCTCTCGGTATTCAAGTCGATCTTCGTCCTCATGCTATCTTCCGTAATGATTCGTGGATCACGATTGATAAGCTTCGAACCCGGGTACAAGCTG